ACTAAGCTTTAAAAAATGCTCATTAATCAGACTAAAATCCTTATTTAACAACTTTCTAAAGTGCACCAGAATTCCTAGATACCGAAAGGGAAGGTTGCCCTCCTTGTAACCAAAAAGCTCCACAAACTCCTTGCTCTGATCCTTAGCCAGACCAAAGCAAAATAGTTCGCTCTTGTGGAAATTGGTTTTGAGGCCAGACAAACTTTCGAAAGCACCAGTTTCAAGTTGCTAGCACCCTCAATATCACTTTTCATGAAAAGAATAGTGTCATCCACATACTGGGAAATGGAAAGACCTTCATCAACTAGATTGGGCACTAAGGCTTTGAATTGACCATTATTCTTAGCCCTAGAGACAAGAATGACAAGCATATCAACAACTAGATTGAAAAGGATAGGCGAGAGAGAAGATCTCCTTGCCTGAGTCCCTTCCTAGTATGAAAATAGTGACCAATTTTGTCATTTACTATAATCCCTACACTTCCCTTGCTAACCACTGACTCAATCCACTTACACCAAAGAGGTTAGAAGCCCTTCATTCTCAAAGTCTATTGCAAAAAACTCCAATTGACTTTATCATAGGCCTTTTCAAAATCAAGTTTAAGAATGACCCCATCTCTCTTCTTCTTATGCAATTCATGAATAGTTTTATGGAGCACCACTACTCCTTCTAGAATATTTATTTTGGCAAAAAGGTTGTTTGTAAAGGTCTCACCACTCTACTAGAAATTCAAATCAATCTATTTGTTACACCTTGTGAAAATCTTAAAACTAACATTGAGCATACAAGATAAATAGATACAACTGACCAAGATGGAAATCTCTAAACAAGGCCATTAAGTCATCTTTAATGAGACTCCATAACACCTTGTAGAATTCAACGGGGAAGCCATCCGGCCCCGGAGCCTTATTATGTTTCATCTGAAAAATGGCTTCCCTTACCTCCTTTTTGAGATTTCTTTAGTTAATAGGCCATTTTCCATCTCACTAACTTGGGGGACATCGTCTCTTTGAGACTCATTAAGAGAGAAGTCATTTCTCTGCGATGATCCGAAAAACTCTTTATAGTACACAGAAATAAAAGGCGTATGGTCTGAAATTTCTCTATTCAAGGCTTCCACCATGACAAGGGGAACTTCTCTCCCACTCCATGCTAGCTAGCACTCTATCCAATTTCTCACAAGTTGGCACGCTCCTGGATTAGCCCGAGTAAACTTACATCTTGACATTTCAATCTCCCTTAAATCCAATCCATCTGTGATGGCAATGAATAAGAAGGGCCATCGAGCATCGAATTTATCATTATTCTTCTCACTTAGATTCCTTATAATGTTAAAATCTCCACCAATGAACAAAGTCAGGGACACTTTACTACATGCCCAAACCAGTTCAGTTAGAAACTGCACCTTGAACTCCGGTTGGGCTACCCTGTAGACGGCCAATAAACACCACTGAAAATCGTCATCTTTGTTTTTGAGATGGAATTTTATAAAAAAATCATCATCATCGATGCTCCCGATATCAAAGACATCTTGGTTTGCTCCTAACAGCATACCTCCGGACCTCCCATGTGGCTCGGTCTAGTGCCACAAAAAATTCCTTCCACCATACAATCTATCAAGCTTAGCTTGCGAAAAAAATCTTTCTTTCTGGTAAGTCGTTAAGGTGTAGGGTCGAGATGACGGACTAAAGGGGGTGAATAGTCCTTTCTAAAAATAAACGCGCTGGCTAACCGAAACAAATACAGAATTAAAATTATCGGCCTAGCCAAGACTACACCCTTCTATCTAAGTTCTCAAGCACCTTATAAGAGATCCTAATTAGGCAACAATGGTGTCGGGCTAGCTAGAGCTGACCTAACTAATTTTAGAAGTAAGGTCACACAAGCCTATGCAACTAGTACTTCAAGTACGGGGGAGCTCCTACACCAACTAGTATGCAAAAGCACAAAGGCTAAGCTCACTAGCAATGCTCAATAACAAGGCTATTCAAGCTAAATTAGAGAGTTCAAAATACTTAGTTACACAAACTAAGCAATGTGACTAACAAGGCTACTCAAGCCAATTAGTCACGCAAGAGAGCTACTTCTATGCTACATAAGCAAGAAGGTAATTAGCAAGCTACAAAAGCTAACTAATTACAAGAGCAACTATACAAGCACAATATATATGCTATATGGGAAGCAAGAAGGTAATGGGATGAACAAGTTACAAATGATTTTTATCCCGAGGTTCACTTGTTTGCCAACAAGCTAGTCCCCGTTGAGACAAGCTCCAAGGTTGCCATCGATCATCTTGCTAGTGGTGACCCACAAGTCACACTCTCTCACATGGAGTGCTACCACAAGATCTAGCACTTTAACACGACCAGACCACTTGTCGCTCTTCGTGTCTCGCTCTACTAGAGTTGCTCTTAGCGGCTCCCATGGGGTGAGTACAATACCCTCACAATCACTTCTCTGGAGCACCGCACAGTCTTCCTTATGTGCTTCGACAGAGACCACCGCCAAGCCATCTAGGAGGTGGCAACCTTCAAGAGTAACAAGCACCACCGGCTTGCAACTCGATCACCTAGTGCCACTCGATGCAATCTTGCAATGCAATCGCATTAGAATCACTCACTCGCAATTAATTGATTCATACTCTCGCAAGCACAAGTAAGTTAGAGGGCTCTCAAACCAAGCACACAAAAGGGAAACACATCCCCAAGGTGCTCAACCTCCGTCATGGCCGAGGCACCCCTCTATTTATAGCCTAAAGGCCAAATAGAGCCGCTACCCCTTCACTAGGCTTTCTGCGCACTGATCGGACGCGCCTGCAGCAGTGACCGAATGCGTCTAGTTGCCTACGTCCAGTCGCTTCGACACTACCACACGTCACTGCGTTTGAAGAGAGCCATTGGCGCCCAATGTCTATCTCACCCCTGCGCTCATACTGCTCAGACTAGACACTCCTCACTCTAGAGTCCGATCGCGAACAGAGACGATCTAGAGATGCTTTTCAACGATCGGACGTGTCCAATCACCCATGATCGGACTCCCCATGCGTCCGATCGCGCCACTGCTTGTGTTGTTAGCCAAGGAACAATGCGAGGGGCACGTCAGGTCGCGCTCCTACGCCAGAGTCCGGTCGCGCTAGCCTCTCTACCTGATCCCTAGGTCACTTGACCGAACACATCCAGTCACTCTGGATCTAGCGCCCGGTCGCTACGGCTACTCAGCCAGCAGCAGGGGTTGAGTACCGGATGCATCGGTCACACTGGGACAGCGTTCGGTCACGCACAGTGACCTCTCTTCCCTTCCCAAATTTGCCTTCTTTGCAAATGTGCCAACACCATCAAGTGTCCACCACCATATGTAAGTGTGTTAGCATTTTCATAAACATTTTCCAAAGAGTTAACACTCAATTCACCACACCACTCGATCCTAGCAACGATGCAAAGTTAGATCACTCGAGTGGCACTAGATGAACCATATGCTGTTTCTCTTGATAGTACGGCCATCTATCCTAAACCCGGTCATAAACTTCTCTACACACCTATGACCGGTGAAATAAAATGCTCTACAAATATACATTTAATCGTTGATGCAACACATGCACCAACACAATCAACAAAATGATATGATCCACTTCATATCATCACGTGACCTTATTGGTTCATCGATCTTGACCTCACTTGCTATTCACCGTTGCCTTCGTCCATCGGCGCCAAGTCTTGCTCAAGTTTCACCGCTACGCGGTCCATCGCTCCAAAGCCTCCAACTTGCCCTTTACTCTTGAAACCGGTCCATCAAGCCAAGTCTTGTCTTGATCTTCACCTTAGCCACATGACTCAATGTCATGTCTTATATGTAATGAGCTCCTTCATCACATGTGTGAGCCTTGCAACAAATCCAAGCCATCTTCATCGTCATGGCATGAGTTTCTCACATAAGTGTACCTGTGGACTAATCACCTGTGTATCTCACATTTAAACATATTAGTCCATCTAGGTTGTTACTCAATTACCAAAACCAAACAAGGACCTTTCACAAGAAGAGGCCGACCAAAAGCTTCATGTGAGCCTTTTGCGCAACCTGCATCTGAAAATGACATAGTGGATAGAATACTCCTTTTTCTGAAATGACAAGGAATTTCTAGCTTTTATGTTAAAAAAGGAATTTCTAGCTTTCCAAAAGTACCATAGAAGATGCAAACCAAGTCAAAGACGAAACTCTCGACGCCACATGTGTGGCGAGCAAAAGTTGCGCCAAGCTTTTGGTGAGAAGAGGAGAGGGAAAACATGCTGCAACCTTGGTGACTGCGGCACGCCACACATTGCCTCAGGTTCGGCCGTAAAAGCAAACAGAGGCTGATCTTAGGGTCCGTTTGGTAGGGTTCTACATTCTCATAAATGTTTCAGATTCAGATTCTTAGGAGAAACGTTTCTCTTAGAAATGGAATCATTTATTGCAACCATTTGGCTATTTTTCTTGATTCAGATTCTGAAAAGAGAAGAATACGATGGAATAGACCAAAGTGCCCTTGAATGTGATAAGGTTTTCTTGAATTAGTTCGAGGCAAAATAAAGCATTTACCAACATAAGAAAAATGCATTATTTTTGCTTGTACATCCTCGAACAAAATACAGGTTCCCATGTCTCCTGAAATCATATATTGCATTCCCAAATCCATTAATCACACAAATCCATTCGACTGTAGGGGGAAGGCTGGTTGTAGGGTGCGCTGGGAGCCTGGAGGGACGACGATGGGCTACATAGACGACGGCGGTAGCTCCTCTTTGACGAGGGAAGGCCATTACTAAGGGGTGGGGAAGACTGGCAGCAGTCAAGCGCATGCGCGGTCGGGGTGTAGGGAGGCGATTCCTCCTCCTCGCCCTTTACCGCCTGGGGCTTGCGCGTGCCTCGGAGAGGGTTGGGGAGCGAAGCCACGGGAGAGGGGGCCTACCGCCTGGAGCTGCGTGCAAGGTAGAGGGTAGGGAGTGGAGCCGCAGTCCGCGGGCATGGGAGCTGTGGTGTTCGGCTTCTTCAGCGGCGGCGTCGGTCATCGCCTCGTCCGCTCAAGTCTTTGGCCGTCCACGTGCGATGTGAAAAAGGTGTGGTGGTAGGGGTGGTAATTTTCAACAAGATAGAGGAGGCTTGCGTCGGGTGGAAGATCGAATCGGTACGAAACTAGGTTTGGCCGTTTTGTGTTTTAACGAAGGGATGTGAAACGATTCAATTCCGATTCAAGGGGCAAGTAACTCGTTTTGATCCATTTCTGGTGATTCTCCTAAGAAACAAAAACGCTTCTTCCTACCAAACAGGACCTTAGCTGTAGCGGCTTGTGGCAGAGTCTGGACATAAAACCAAACACGCCCTTCTTCTCGAGCCTGCTCAACAAGGTCATTCAGAACCAATAAGCTAGTCAATATACTCCTATCAATGAACAACCCCTCAACAACCAATAAGCTCCTACCATTACCTCAGACCAGGGCCCACGTGCATAGACAGACGGACAACTCACGCCCATCATCACAACGAATATTAATTACGCGCAAAAGCCAAACAAAAAAGAAAAGAAAATTTAATCAAGTCCGTCTATTTTCTCGTCGAATCGCGCAGGCACGCGCAACCCAAAGTACGGCCGGACTCGTCTGCTCCCATCCTCACCTCGTTTCAAATTTTCCTCTGTTAAACCCTACCCACCCGACGAATCCCTTCTGCAGATCCAACCAGCTTGCCGGAGGAATACACCGGGAGATTACATCAAGCGGCGGGGAGAGGGAGGGTTAGAGCTGGGGGAGGCCGTCGCTGTCATGGAGGCGCAGGCGACGGCGACGGCGACGGTGAAGGAGGCGCTCGCGGCGCTGTACCACCACCCGGACGCCGCCATCCGCACCGCCGCCGACCGCTGGCTTCAGGAGTTCCAGCACACGCTCGACGCCTGGCAGGTGTGCGCACGCTTCTCCTTTCGATTCGCTCTCTTTCCTGTTCGTGTCCTGAGCTGAGTGAGGGTTGGTTTCTGTGTTTAGGGAGTGGGACGCTGCTGACTTGGGTCGGCTAAGAGTGAGATTTTCATGCAGTCGTGTGAATTCGGCCTGAACTAGGGTGAATTGTATCACCGTTGGGAGTGGTTCTGTAATCTGTCCGAAGCTAGCTCCATAGGAGAAGGTGGGAATTGCGATTAGATTTCTTGGAGTGGGACTTTGTTCTGCCCCTGTTGACTGCACATTGTGTCTGCTACAGCTGAGGCTGCTGGTAGGATGTCTAATGCAGGATGGTTGTGGTCTCAGTTGGTGTGCATTAGTTTGGAAAACTCAAAGACTGGATCTTTTAGGTACAGTTTAACTTTTTAATCCTGTCAATTCCTTCTAGATTAGGGTTACTACTTTCTAGTGAACGCTGACGACGCAAATCTACAAGTTGAGCTTCATCCAAGTGTCTTTTATAGGACTTCTATGCGAGTTTGATGCGATGCCTGTATGCCACTGACTGGTTCAACTTAGTCCATCTCCTGTAATTGGAGGTTGTGACGTGTAACATGTTGCTGTGGCTATCCAGGCCTTTGAACAGACTGCTGTTAGGAAGTGATGATTTAAGAAGATGAAGGGAGGATAGAGTTGTGCATTGGCAATGTGTACATTTGCCACTTGTGTGAATTCACCAAAGTTGACACTCTCTTTCAGTGTTTTCTAATTTCTTGATCTGTTATGGGCATATATAGTGTGTTTGTATAAAATTTAGAGTTTCTTGTCGGCTTGTGGTAGATGAATTTTCTTTGACATTGTATTATATTGCAGCCATTTTATATTTGAGTGTTTTTCTCATTCTCCTTATGCAGGTAGCTGACAGTTTACTTCATGATGAAAGCAGTAATTTGGAAACTCTCATCTTTTGTTCTCAGACCCTCAGAAGCAAGGTAAACGGAAAGGGGCGTAGCCACACCTTGCATGAACTATTTAGAAATGTTATACTCCCTCCGGTACCGTTTATTAGGTGCTGCTGCAGTTTGAGAAATGTCCCTCTTATTAGGCGCCTCCTAGAAACCAAGGCAGGCATTTAACTCTCGCACAAAAATCGAACGGCTGGCTGCAACTGAACGCTAGCATTTTCGTGGCGTTGTGCTCATGCATGCATGCAAGGAGTGAATGCAGAGAAAGGGGATCCAATACAGGGCTGCCATGTGGCAAGTATGAGCTCTAAAATCCTGCGCCATTTAATAGTTCTCCTTAGTCTCTGGTGTTTTCTTGGTATCTGGAATTTGAGTCTCTGCGCCTAACAAACGGTACCAGAGGGAGTAGTTTACTTAGTTTTCACAGTGATTCTCAGTAATACCATTCCATGTTATTTGTAGGTACAAAGGGACTTTGAAGAGTTACCCTCGGAAGCTTTTCGATCATTACAGGATTCTTTATATGTAAGCACTGTCTTGTAAAGTTTCTTTTACAGAGTATCTATGTTGTATATTGTGGAAAGAAGTCAGCTAGGGCTACCATGTAGTTCTATTGCGGTTTGTGACATCTAAAGTGGCTTAAAAATATCACATAGTATTTGCATAAAGTAAAACACATATAAGTATTTGTGTATCGTATTATTTTTCATATAATTACATAATTTGGAAGTCAATTCACTAGTCTAGACTTTCAAAAGAAAGCATTATAAGTGATTATTGACTGAAGCAGCAAACAGAAAGTCAGAAACCTTTTCTAGTCGCATCTAGTTGCTAATTTACAGCTATGAGCTTTGAAACTAAAAACTACCCCCTTGATTCCAAATGTAGGTTGTTGTGACAGTGACACAGTCTCCAATATGACACTTTGGCTTGCGACTTTTGTTAAAATATTTTAGATAGTGAAAATTGTATATTATGGAAATATTTTCCATGATGCATATGGTAACATCATCCATGTGAATCAACGTAATTTTTCATGTGTTGGTGGTCCAAGTTGAAAAGTTTGACCAGATAATGTAATCGCATGAAAGGACCCACATTTGGAATCGGAGGTAGTATTTCTGTTCCCTAGCCCTTAAATATCCCACTCACTCTCAGTAGGCGATACCACCACCAGAGTCAATCATCAAGCCGAAGTTTAGTAAACTTCTATACAAGGGCACATTTATTTATTTTGGGCAGCGGACACCTTTCTGTCACTCCATGGCTTGCCCAACTGCCAAACCTGGGAAGCTAATTGCTGTGCATATATCATGGTGGACCTAATGTTACCTTGGGGCAATGACTAGTACATGCAAAGGGCACATTTATTTATTTTGGGTAGCAAACACCTTTCTATCACTTCAAGGGTTGCCAAACCACCAAACCTTGGAAGCTGATTACTGTGCATATATCAAGGTAGACCTAATGCTATCTTTGGGGGGCAATGACAATGACTAGAACAATGCAGGGTATATGATAGGATTTCGGATCCTACCGGCGAATGGTCGGAGGTTGTAAGGGTGAGAGATCGGGGGACGAGCTCGGCGACGGCTCTGGGGCGCCGTCCTTGCAGCTGGTCGCAACGAAGAGCGAGGAACACGACGAAGGCGCTACAGTATCGCGGTACTGTTCACGGGAGAGAAAGAGAACTCGGCGGCTAGGGTTTCTCCCGGCTCCCTTCAGGAAGCCGGAAACAATAATATGTTTCTGCTTACCAAATTAGTCCCTGATCACAAGTATTTATCTTGTCTATTGAAATATGAAAATAACCCCCTGATTCTATAGAAATTAGCTAGACTTAGCCACTAATACCCTTTCGCCGGCTATAATGCATGCCGGTCATAACAGTATAATTTGTGCCTCTTTGAGTTGTTCTATGAAATACTCTGCTTTTGAAGTTCTATTGCAATGTATACTGTGTTTTCCTATCTGGTCCTTTTGATTTCTTAGCCTTGTTATAGTATCTGGTTGACCTTTTAAGGAGCTTTGCTACTTTTTATTTGAATTTGCTGCATTTGCAGGTATTGCTGAAAAAGTTTAATAAGGGACCACAAAAAGTTAGAACACAGGTAAAAATATAGAATTAAGCTATTGTTTATGCTAACACAATTGTTGTAATACTAACACACTTTGGACCATCTTCAGATTTGTATTGCAATTGCTGCTCTGGCTGTGCATGTACCTGTAGAGGACTGGGGAGCTGGTGGAATTGTGAATTGGCTAAGCGATGAAATGAAAGCTCATCCAGAATTTATTCCAGGCTTCCTTGAACTGCTTATAGTTTTGCCGCAGGTACTTATATATTCTTTGAGCTTTTTATCAAAAACTGACACACCTATGTTATCCAAAACACTGTTTGGTCATCCTTTTTTTTTGGCAAAGGTGCGTATGTAAGGCGAATTTCTTGTGTGCGCAAGGGTTTCTACCCTTTTCTCTTCTTTAAGACAAAGATACGCAGCTCTCCTGAGCCCTGTGTTCGAGGGAAAAAAAACTGAAAAACTCAAACAAAACTGTAAAACAAAATTTAATGGAAGTTAAAGCTGTGGTCCTTTTCTTGTTTCTCACAATTTTACATACACGGGGATTTTGAGAATGGCTGAGACTCTGAGAGAGAATACTTCGTTAACGTTTATACCGCTTCCTTCAAAGTAGCCTCACTTCTGTCATCTCTTGCCATCCTTACCTCCCCTCTCCAAATCCCTACGCTCCTCTTCTTTGCCTCTTGTCCATTCTTCTGTACCCGACTACTTTGATATTTCTATCCACTGCCTGTGACATGCTCTGCTCTAGGATGAGACTACCACCACTGTGTAGTTCCAAGGACCATGAGTCATGCAGATCTATGGCCATCTGTGCCGAGAGCATGATCTGGGATGTTCTGTGCCACATGCGCACAACCCAACCTGTAACTGCCAGCCTTCTATTTGCCTGCACTTGAGCTTTGGCAAATTTCTAGCCACCTTACATGGATGGCCAGATCCCCTGTAACAATCCTGGGCGTTTATGGTGGACACAATTCTTTCTCATAGATTTATTCATGTGACTTAAGTTACCAAACATGGCTCGTGCATAAAATCCATAATTCCATATATTGTTATGCAGTGTGTCGGTCTCAGTGAAATTGAACTTTGTCCATTGTTGTGTTTACAGGAAACTTCTAGTTATAAAATCGCGGCTCGTCCTGAAAGGCGCAGACAATTTGAGATTGACCTTTGTTCATCTGCTAATGTTACTATTGATTTATTAACTGCTTGCATGGCCATTGATCAGCTGAAAGAACAGGTTTATTTCCTCTTCAACATTTCCTTTTACGATACTAATCCCTTTAGTGTTATGATGCATAAAGAGGTTGTGCCTACGCATTTTTTTTTTTGTTCAGGGCTTAGCTATTTATTTTATACCTACTCTGCTACATGCACATGTAATGTGCTCCCATGATTGGTCCTTTATGTGCTACTCTCCTTTCTTCTATATATTTGTAGTTGTCCTTCAGTTACTTTGATGGTTGTCAATAGCTTTCCCTCAAGGAGCTTGCTACCTTCATTAATAACTTTGGAGCTAATATCCTAGTTGCTGGTCCTTACAGTTTATATATATTCTGCCCTGTACACTCACTCTGGCAGATTGTGTCTAACTGAGAGATAGTATATAATGTACTGTCCATTTATTTTGTACGTGCAAATGTGATATCCACTTTGTATAAATTACCTCAGATGTGAGTTAACAGACCTTTTATCTTTATATACAACAATGTCACATCTTCATGGTATCTTTTTTGAGGAGAAGCATCCAATTCATGTTTCAATGTTCTTTTTATTGAATCGTAGAAGTTAACTTGCAATTCTGAGATACATTTCAGCACTGCATTTATAGTGTATCTTTGATTGTTCCTTTTCAGGTTTTGGAGGGTTTTTCTTCTTGGCTTCGTTTCTGTCATGGGTATGAAGTTTCTGGTGTTCTGATAGTGATACTTCATTCCTTGAAAGTGTAGCTGTTGTAGTATGTCTCATTCTATTCTTATGCTACTGCTGGTTAACAGTATTGATGTCAGTAATTATAATTAAAGTCTTCTTTCTGCCAGAATCTCTGCCTCTGAACTCGCATCACATCCTTTGGTCCATTTGGCACTCTCTTCATTGAACTCTGATCAATTCTTGGAGGCAGCTGTAAATGGTATTGTTCTAAATATGCCTTTAATTTCTATTGTATTCAGGCTGTTCAACTTTTGTTATCTTATACTTTTCACCCTTTTGCCACATTTAACCAATTGAATTCTATACACAATTCTATGACCATTTTTCTGGTGTGCTTGTGTTATCATGGTTATACTTGATTCTGTGTCTGATATAATGAAAACCTGATATGTCTCTAGATTATATACATCTATATCTATACTGTATACTCTTACAAAAACAAAACCCCACTAGCATGTAATTATGATAGCCGTCTCTTCATGCAAGGTATCCACGTCAGGAAGCCTCGTCCCCACTAACATGCATTTAGCTGTCCACATCATCCACTAATGTTCATTTATGAGTCTGTCTCTTCATGTAAGCTAAGCTATCTATACTAATGATCCACATAAGGCCAGTAATGATAGGCCGTCCGATTTCCATTCCAAACCATATCTGTCCGCCCAATGCCATCTGTGATCCCCGCAGGCCGCAGCAACGCATGGGGCATTCTTTTAGTTCTTACTACTACCTCCATTATCTTTTATAGGGCGTACAACCATCGTTTTTGACGATTTGTTGGGCACAGGGTTGGAGGCTGGAGGTGAACAGCGGCTGTGTCATTTACTTGATACGTATGGAACCCGAAGCGTTTTTGCATGTTGAGTTGCGTGGTTCGGTTCTGTGCTTGTTGTTTTTTCACCGCGCGCGCTACGTTGGTTTGTTTCACCAGGCAACAGAAACGTCGCTGCATGCATGCATGCAGATATGGGGCATGATCTCGCTCCTCGACGCTGCATTACTACTCATCCTCGCTATCTGAGTTTCCTTGGTATCTGCAATACTAGCCTCCATGCCTAATAAAAGATAATGGAGGGAGTACTTACTAATTAATTATTTCACGCTCAAGATTGTAAACATAGCAGTGCTCATAAGATTATTGTTCTTTAATTGTTCTTTAATATGTGAAAGGTCCTCTAGCTGAGTTGGTTAGGTGGTCTGAGTAGCACTCCTCAGGTCCTGAGTTCGACTCCCCGTGGGAGCGAATTTCAGGCAGGGGTTAAAAAAATCCCCTCGTCTGTCCCACGCCAAAGCACATGTCTAAGGCCTGGCCCTGGTTGTGGTCGTTCTCACATGGGCTCCGGTGCCGCTGTGTATGGGTGGGGCAGGGGTTCGGGGGTTTTCTCGACCTGCGTGAGAAGGTCTTCTTCTTAATGCAATACCCGGGGTCTGTCTTGCCCCCTGCAGGTTAAGTTTTTTTTTTCTTTAATGGTGTTCATGCATCCAGTTGACATTGTAAACAGTGTCAGTATTTGAGTACGACTTTGGTTGTGAGTTTCCATTAAATATACATAAAATGGCCTAATAGAATTACAATAATATGAAAGCATTTTCAACTTTGAAGGCGAATAAACGCATAACATATTCAGATGGTGATTAGATATCTACTAGATAATGTTGACCAGAACTAAAATAATTCTTTTTTGTGAGACAAATCTATGATGGTTTGACTGCATTTTAGGACATCACCTCAACATATTAGGAACAACATAATACAACCGTTCGACTACCCAATAACCTATTCCTTAAAATTGCTATGTATCTGGTACCAGGTATCAGATTCCAGGTGCCAGGATTCAACATGCTGCCCCTTGAAGCAGGAATATATTGACACCTAGTGCTGGTTTCAAGTTTGTAGCCAACCGCTGCAGGTTTTGTTGTTTTCATTGTTTTAACATGGGTTCAATGAGGGTCCTACAAGCTTCAATAACCAAATCAACTTCAGTACGTGCACACCTCTCAAGAGGTGTGATAAAACGGGAAGATCTTAGGGCAGTTTTCTGATAGACGAAGTGAAGTTAGGGCTCAAGGTATTAGTGACCCATTGGTTGGAGGCTGGCTGTGTCGCTGTGGCAGTGTGCATAGAACTATAGAAGGGGCTCAATGATGAATCACACTTAGATCCAGCTCCCAGGCTGTACCATGTCTAACTGGCATGTGCATACTCACCCTGCTGCATCATCATAAGGCATGGGCCATGACTTCCTTGTGGGACCCCTGTGCAACGCGCTCCTTGTGTATTGCTTTTTGCAACATCATGTCCTCCATGTTCTCACAGAAGACAAAGCTATGCAGTCTGGCACACCGAATCCTCATCTAGTCCGGCCAGTCTCACAGAGAGCAACTTCCAGTTCTGCTTCTCCATAGGCTGTGTGTTGGCCAAAACAGGCAGAGCTTTTCTTGCTTAGACCATATACAGAAACTGCGCCCCTGAACTCCTGAAGGATTTTCATGCTCCATTCTATTTTTGTTTCTATACATGGGAAGTCCAGGATACTCTCACATCGCCCTTGCCGCTACAGCCTACAGTAAAGATTTGCGGGTAGCAGTCCTGCAGTTGCTGCTTGTCAATGAGTTGGTGGCTTCCTATGGTTATGGAGCTGCCATGCCTGTTGGCTGTTGCCAAGACTGGATTCCAAAAGCTGCTGTCTCCTTCACGTGCCATTGCCTTCCACCAGAGTCCACATTGTTTCCTCCAGCTGCTTCATTGTATGAACTATGAAGTATCCTGTTTGCACTGCTAGCATACATTTGATGTTTGGGAATTGGGATTTATATTTTATCCACTTGGCTCTCATGATTCTGTTACTGTGGTTCACTGTCCAATTGAAGTGAGGATGATTAGTCATCTGCCTTTATTGCTTGCTCAGTAAAAGGCATAAACATATTACATTTGCATGGGATTAATATTAAAGAGTCACTGTTATTTGCTCAATATTCTTCCAAACAACTTTGCAAGCTTCTCGCATTAGCTTGATTTTCTGGGCTTATAAGGTAGTAAAAGCTGGTTTACGGGTTAAACTAAGCTTGGCCAAACCAACACTCCGAGCTAGGGATCCAAGTGGGTACCCAGTGTTTTCTAGGTCAGCTAGTTCAGTTCATTTTTTCTCCTAAGTTATCTATGTGGCATGCTGTTCTAGTTCGTTTTCGCAAGTTTTGGGTTGACCCAATGACCCCAAACAAGTGAACTTGCATCCCTACTGAGAATGGCTGTAATTAGTACTGGGAATGGCTGTAGTTAGCTACGACTAAGATGACTAGTCCAGTAATTCTTATGCCTTTGGTTTTGTCGGAACCTCACTGATATAGTTAATGTTCTAATTTCCAGTTACATCTGAACTGATACATGCTACTGTATCTCATGGCTCTGGTACTATTGCTGAGCAAATGCCGCTCATTCAAATTCTTGTCCCTCATATTATGGGTCTGAAAGAGCAGCTCAAAGATCCATCTAAGGTATGACATCTCTGGTCATATTCTGCATGGACGGTCAGTGTATCTGTCAAATTCCTCTTCATCATGTTTTGAGTGTTAATTTTATCTCTTCAATCTTCATGCTCACACATATCATTTGGTGGAATTAATGTACTTCGTAGGTGATTCCGGAAAATTCAAAATTTCTGTTAGTGCCGTAATTAGGATTTAGGAATGAGTCACTCTAGCTCTCTTTTAGTTATCTTTCATTGGAATGCGCAATGAAAAGGTGTAGGCATTGTAGATTGCAAGACGTAGTAGATTGATTGTTGAGATACAATGTACATGAATATATAGGCAAGAACAGGGGTGGCTTATAGAAACGTAACCAACCTCCAATATCCTTGCCTAATAGAACTCAATCTACACAATTCTGGACTTATAGTCGAAGGAAACCTCCTGGGCATGCCCTGGCCGTACCCTGTGTAGAGGGATAGCCGGCTGGGCTACTCTAAGCTAAGCCCATGGCCATATGTATATAATCCTGTCTAACAAAAGGAACTAAAATGCTTTGGTGTTGTTTGAGCTGGTAAAGTTATTTTACCCATGAATCCACAGTTTCCTGTCTAAGCAAACTCTTTTAGTGCATCTTTGAATTTTGAAAGTAAATTTTTAACTTTTGTTTCTGAACAAACACAAATGCATCTAAGTCCGAGCTTTTAAAATAATCGGACTGTTGGGGAAGATGCTATGATAAACAAAAGCCAGTAGGGCAATTGATTAGCAGAGGGAAAATTAAAAAAAAAAGAGAGAATTGCTCCATTTGTCCCTGAAGTTGCATGGTTGTGTTACCCTTACCCACACCCATCATAAATACTTTGTGAGACCCCTAAATGTTAACTCTGTTTGTGGTAGTGGCCCAAATTACTGTTAGATTAGTGATAGTCCTGATGTGGCATTGAACATGGCCTATCAAGCTATTACCATGTTGGCTTTCATCATTTCTCCCCATGCTCTTTGTCTGTCCTCTCACTGCTGCAGTACATACAGATCCCTAGGAACAGACTACTCCTCTGGCCCACCATTTCCTATTCCTCCTTTATTGCCACTAAACTCCATGAGAAAATATATTAACAAGTGCTTATTATATTTATCTTTTTTGTTATATTTTATATGTTTATACCTTGAGTGTTTGGTAAATATGTAGAAATGCATGTGTTGTTTTGCTTCTATTTTTTATGACCCTTTGGCACATTTTCAGGATGAAGAAGATGTAAAAGCTATTGCTCGTTTATATGCAGACATGGGTGAATCCTATGTTGACTTGATTGCCACAGGTAAATTTCATGGATTATGCTGATCACCATTGAGATCCTTCTCTTGCCAATGACCCATTTATTTACTTTTAATGTTTGAGCTTTACCAGGTTCAGATGATTCAATTCAAATAGTAAACGCATTGCTAGAAGTTACTTCTCATCTGGAATTTGATATTTCCTCTATGACGTTTAATTTCTGGCACCGTCTTAAGCGTAACCTGATCAAGAGGTAATTGACTAACCTAATTAAACATCATGTGCTTTGCCTGAGAAATAATGTTATCAATGCTTCATGTATTTTAGGGACTCTTATGTATCATATGGATCAGAGGTGGCAATTGAAGCTGAGAAAAACAGAAGATTACAAATATTTCGTCCAAAGTTTGAAACTCTGGTGTCTCTGGTACGTATTTGAGGACTGAGGATTTTATAACATCCTCCCTATAATCTTGCCGTGTAATAAAATCAGCAATGTCCACTGAGTTATTTCATTTCATGTGTCTGATTTCATATATTGTGTTGATTTCCGGATCAGGTTAGTTTCCGAGTTGAATACCCTGAGGACTACCACACCTTTTCCGAGGAAGACCGCAGGGATTTTAGACATGTTAGATATGGTACAGTACCTAATTTCTTTTAGCTGGTTTCATCAGTCCATTTTGCCTATCTTGTGGTTGTAAGACATATTTAGGGCCATTTGTGTTTCAGCTGTTAGTGATGTGCTACTTGATGCAACTGAAGTTCTTGGGGGTGACTCGACGCTAAAACTACTTTCCACCAAGCTAGCTCAGGTGACCTAAACTATTTCTCTTGTTTTATTTCTGAGATCTCGTGCTAAATCTCTTTGTTGGCTTGGCAGTTTCCTTACTCACTGTATTTTGTGATTTGTGATTTGTTTAGTTTCTCGGTTACTTTGGCATCTTGTGCTCATTATTATAATGTTTCTTCTCCAGAAGGCTTTTCTTTTATTGAAACAATGATTTCATGTCTCCATATATAGTCTAGACAGAATGACTGTATTCCAGCATAGGTTTGTCTGGCCCTGTATATATGGATTTTGGGTTGTTGGGCTAGTTGCTCAGTAATACTACAACAGCATGCAAATAAAAAATAGTATTTGTACGCTATTTGATATGATTTAAGATGTTAATAGTATATTGACATGAAGCGCTTACTGATCAGAATTCACAGATGGATTTTGGATATTTGAGGCGCATTAACAGTGCAGGTGCTGATTGAGTATCTAGAGCTTTGGGAAGTTTTAGAGGTATTCCATTTGAATCCTGATGTACCAGATCAACACAAAAGGGCAGACCCAGTGCCGGAGGCTCCCACATGAGTGGGGTCTGGGGAAGGGATAAACCGAGACCAGCCTTTCCCCCGCAAAATCTGCGGAGAGGCTGCTTCGAACCCACGACCTGGTGACTCAGTGAGACAGCTCTCACCACTGCACCAGGCCTGCCCTTCTTACCAGATCAACACAAGTGGAGATTTATTGAGACAGTGACATATTCTTGTTGCTCAGCATACTTGGCCTTTTTTGTGTTAGTGTATGGATGCCCTATTACGAATAAGGGAGACTGAATTGGATGATAGTATTGAGAGCTGGCACTATGCACTAGACTTGAAAAATAAAAGAAACTAATTACATCCAAAATCCAAGATCGAAGATGTCGTCGAAGCATGCAACTCTTGGACAATGTCGATGTAGGAAATGACCTCCTCCAATACCTCCAATCTTCACAGACGGTACTTTAACTCTTCAAATATGAACCTTGCTTTGGAGACTTTGAACTCGACGAGAATAAAGAGATGTGTCAAATCAAGCCAAAGGAAGAACAGAGAGATCACTGCTGCAAGACGGCAAGTAGGACAGAATGGTGATGATGATAAATAAACAGCTATTGGTCATGAAGTGTAGCAAAATAGCTACGAAAGAGACCGAGAGGGCATAGTCGCATCAATGATGATGATGATTAGCTAAATCTTTTTTTTTTGCGAGTAATGATTAGCTAAATCGATGGGACTCAGGTAACCAAAGGGACTTTACGTGACTAACACGAGCACATGATTTACTTTTTGGGATGGAGGGAGTAGATATTAACAATATAACGTTGATTGCTTAACCTCAGGCTTCAGTTTTCTTTCAAACTGACTGACCATTGCCTGCCCAGAGTTGCACCAGAAAAGTTTCTTTAGTTCTCAATAATAACAGTTTTTCACTTTTGTATTTTAGGCATATGGGAGCTGCAACAATGAGCAGAACCCCAAGTGGCAACCTGTAGAGGCTGCCCTGTTCTGTATACAAGCAATTGCAAGATCAGTCTCAATTGAGGAGCGAGAAATTTTACCACAGGTATTGATAGCATATTGATTGTCCCATAATGCTATTGGTTGTTCTTCCTTAACTAGATCATCTACAAGATCTTCCTCTGATAAGCTACCTTTTGTTTGCACTGAATTCTTATTTGGTGTTGATCATGCGCTGTTATTGTTTTCTAAAGGTTATGTCACTGCTTCCCTGCCTTCCTCACCATGAGCAGTTGCTACGAACAGGTATGTTTCACCGTGCAGATAGTTCAGAAGTCCTTGATCTTTGCACGGTGTTTATTTAATTTTATGCTGTACCTGCTCAGTAGGCAGTAGGTCGTTAGCTCTGTCAAGATGTTAATGTTTATGACAGTTAGAGCTGCTTATTCCCATTGACAGATTTTTATTGTTACTGAGTTACTTGGTTATATTTTTTTTGATCCTTCTAGCTGCGTGCTTTTGAATAACAACCATGCAATAAATGGTTTACCTGGCCTGTTTATCACAATGTTCTGAAATATACTTACAGTTTGTTCGACCATTGGAGCATTTTCAAAATGGATTGATGCTGCACCAGCTGAATTATCTATTCTACCACCTCTAGTTGATATTCTCAATAAGGGTATGAATACATCAGAGGATACAGCTGCGGCTGCTTCTATGGCCTTTAAGTACATATGTGAAGGTATGCATCTGCATCTACTTAGCAGTGTATTATCTTTGTGCATCTGTTTCGGAATTGTCTTATTTATTTTAATAAATCTAGCTTGGTACTGTTGGGCTATTGCCTGTGACTGTAGTAAAATTTGAGATGGGCTATTCTATTAAATGCCATTCATGATTTGGCACCCCATTTCCTCATTGGTGTGTGATAGCGTCTGGTGGCAAATCCTAAAGTGCCAGTGCTGTTGAATAGTATGGGGTGTTAGGTTTCATGCACCAACCAGATGAACCCAAAAACTTAAGCCGTTGGGAAGAGCTGGGCAATCCACTTTATACTTCAACACTCCCACTCACGTGCAGCCACATACAAGGCACAAACGTGGAAATAAAGGAGTGTTGGACTTAAATGACGCCTCTGCCACGACTCGAACTCGAGACCTCTGGCTTTGATACCATGTTAGGTTTCATGCACCAACCAAATGAACTCAAAAGCTTAAGCCGTTGGGAAGAGGTGGGCAATCCACTTTATACTTCAACATGGGGGAACTTATTGTAAGATTGGTGTATAATGCGTGGATGTATTGCTTGAGCCCCTTGGGTTGATTATATAGGAGTACATGGCTTGGAGGGCAAGTAGCCTCTCCTAGAGATAAGGAAGGTTATCCCAGGATTACAATCAATCCTAAACTAACCATATCCGGAGTTGCCTAATATACTCTAACACTTATCCTTGCTTTGAATTTTGCCCAAATTTATGTTTTGATGCCATAAATTATTTACTGTTTGTTTAATTTATTTATCCTTTTTTGGTGATAAGACTGTAGGAGAAAGTTCTCAGGGTCCCTGGATAGCCTCTTCCAGATATACCATGTTGCAATTAGTGGAGTTGGTGGTTATAAAGTTTCTTCAGAGGACTCATTGCATTTGGTTGAAGCCCTAAGGTTCTATGATTCCTCCCATCCAGCTTGGCTATTTTTGTTAGTAAAACTTTTTGGTTGTCTCAAGTACTCACCTTGCACGCTTTTGCATTATAATACACTTTGATCAGTGTGGTTATTACAACGCTTCCACCAGAATCTGCTAGTAGAGCCCTGGAGTTAATCTGCCAGCCAGTAATCAATCCCTTGCAAGTAGGTATCCCTTTTTTATAGTCAATTAGACATGCCTAATGTATCCATTATAATTTGTTTGCTTCGATAAAAGGAATTAATCCAGCAAGGTGATCAAGTTCTTCAACAAGTCCCTGCTCGGCATTTAACTGTACATATAGACCGACTATCAAGCATTTTCAGGTGGTGGCCTTCTATTTCTAAATTTCTTCCATTGAAAAATACGTTTGTTTACTAAATCCTCCAAATTGTTCCAGCAATGTGAAACAACCAGAACTAATTGCTGAAGCTGTATATAGATATTGGCCGACACTCAAGAGTATCTTTGATCAGTAAGTATGATACCATGGAGTTATTGACAGAAGTTCCTATTACTGCTATATACATGAATGTTCTCCTCCACTCCTTTATCAAAATACTCTTATGCACAGACGAGCATGGGATACCCGTACCATGGAGTCAATATGCCAATCTTGCAAATTTGCTGTAAGTTTGTGACTTGTTTGGCATATTAATTGTTTGATATAATTTCTACTCAAATCTTATGCAAGTGCCATCAAGATTGCATTATGGAACTATTTTCTTGTATCAGACATGGAGTCTGAATAACTCTGGTTCCTAATGTTCCTTGGTTTAACTGTTTAATTAAAAGTTGCAATGAAAATCTACCTGATGTTTTCTGAGTAGTGTGGAGCATGGGCTACAGCATAGCCTTGTAAGTTTCAGTTTATCATGCCTGATGCACCAGGGTGCTTGGCACAAAAGTGTGTAGGTAGTTTGTAAGTTTCAGCTTATCATGCCTAATTCAGGGCTTTGTAGACTGTTGTTTCAGTACTTCCCAAAATGTACAAATTATCGTCCAGTAAGTAATGAAGCTGGAGTTGGAGATTGCAAAACCCTTATTTTGCTCTAAATTTGTTCTTTTAGCTTCTAGTAAGGGATTGAAGCAGATTACAAATATCTCTTGTGGTCACTTCAATACCATCTGGATATTCATTGTCCGCTGACTAATGCTGACATGCCTTTTCTGTGTGAAGGTAAGGACATGTGGAAGGGTCATGGGAATGACGATTGGTGCAATGCTTGAAGAAATCCAAACTCTCTACCAACAACACAAACAGTCTTGCTTCCTTTACTTGTCCAGTGAAGTTATCAAGGTTGATTTATATTTTCAAAGAGTCGAGTAATAAACTTGAACTGTATTTTCCCCTTCTCTGACAATTCTTTTTCTTTGTAGAGTTTTGGATCTGATCCATCTTGTGCGGGCTATCTTACTAGCTTGATACAAATACTTTTCAGCCATACAGTGCAGCTTCTCAGAACGATTCAAGTAATTGTTCTTTCTTTTCATTCCTAGGTGACAATTACATATTGGCAACATAAAAGGTGACCAAAGTGCACTATATTTTCAGGATTTTACAGCCAGACCAGATATAGCTGATGATTGCTATTTGTTAGCATCAAGATGTATTCGATACTGTCCTGATCTATTTATACCTACAGAAATGTTTCAAAGATTGGTTGACTGCGCAATGGCTGGTATAACTATACAGCACAGGTAATGGCCTCAAGATTGGCTGACTGCTCAATGGCTGGTATATATATAAACATTTGAACAAGACTCTGAGATGCTTGAGTTGGTTCAAATTCGAAAAATTCTCTATACATACAACAAGGCCCTTATTGATATATATCAGAATCATTTTAGAGTTGATCCGAATCTGACCATCTAGCAGTCTTGTTCAAACACTTTTATCTATGAAAACGATATTCTTGTTCACTGTTTTTTTTTTTTCAGTATTGAAGTATTGAAGTCTAATGTTGTAACCTAACTTTTATGTAACAGGGAAGCCTGTAAATCAATATTGTGTTTTCTATCTGATGTCTTTGACCTTCCAAACTCATCTGACGGGGGACAGTACCGTGAAGTTATTAACACAATCATACTTCAGCGTGGTGCAACCCTTACTAGAATAATGATTGCTGCCTTAACTGGGGCGCTACCATCTGGTCGTCTGGAGGAGGTGGGTTGTAAGATCGTATCTTTTTTTTTTATAAACAAAAAAAATCTGAAACGTGCATGAGAATTGTCATTGCATTAAAAAGGAAACTAATTTTCAGTGGCATTTCCATTATTGTTTGTTACATTCGCGTCCAGCGAAAAATTGTTGAACTACCCTATCTAGCGCTACTCTACACTCTACCAGCAGCTAGAAAGAGCATGTCTTACATGATGTTTTCTTTTGCTCTACCAGCAGCTGGAAAGGCATGAATCAACATTCTCGGATTCTCCTGTGTTATCAGATATCTCACTAAAAACTGATGCAAAGAGGCAAATGTAGCTCACTTTTTTTTTTGTCAAAATATATGTCTCTTATTTGATCACAAAATTACTGGAATACCTTTTTAACTACATAACAGCATATTGGATTGGAACGTTAGTTCCTTACTGATATACTACCCCTGTTCAAAAATTGTAGGTTGTTTTAGTTCTGCCCTAAGTCAAACTTATCTTTGATAAAGTTTATAGAAAAATGCAGCAACATCTAGAACATAAAAAATTAATATCTCTAAATCCATCATAAAATATGTCTAGACAGTGTATTGATTTGGTAACATGATGTTAATGTATTTTCCATAAACTTTGTCCGAGTAAAGAGAAGTTTGACTCTCATTAGGACTCTATCTGGTCACTATTTGTCCATCATTTTAAGAGTATAGAATAGAGACAAAAAAATAACTGTAAAGGTGGAACTGAATGTCTTCCCGCTATTAATTATGGTGATTATTGCATTTGTGCTGTCTCAGGTGTAAGTAAAGCCACATTACTTTTAGTTTCCCTTATATCGCATACTTTGTCGTTTTTCATCCCCACATTACCTACATTCTACTTGTATGGCGGGAAAAAGTCTTAGGCCTTGTTTGGCGGGGCTCCCTCTGGCTTCGGCTCTACTCAAGGAGCCAGAGCTTTTTTGGGCTCCTAGTTCATTCCTTGAGGAGAGAGAAAAACAGCTCCTGGTTGTTCCAAACAGGCTCTTTATCGAGGCCATGAAATCACCAACTCCACTGTGGCACGCTTACAGCCATTTGTGCATAAAATCAACACGAGAATGCCAATTGTAGTTTTGATATTTTATTGTATTACTGAAAAAAATTTAGGACAAAGTATGAGATAGTAAGATGATAATTGACAGGTGGATTTGTACCTTTTTGCAGGTTTCTTATGTTCTGCTGTCACTTAGCAGAGCCTTTGGTGAGAACATGCTGAACTGGGCAAGGGAAAGCATTAATCTTATACCACCACAAGCCCTAACAGATGCAGAACGTTTGCGTTTCTTCAACATCATATCTGATGCTGCTTCCGGGTCTAGTCTTCATACCATAACAGATAGATTTGGAGAAATCTCAGATGTTTGTAGACGAAACAAAACAGTGCAAGACCTAGTTCAAAGTGCCTTGCGGCCTCACGATTTGACCTTCACGGTGGTTCCACAACAGATGTGATAACTGCAAGGCAAGTTTAGAAAGCCAGTTCATGCATATTTTCAAGTTGAGAAAAGCCACTGAGTCAGTGTTGATGCAAGACTCAAGTCATCTTGGGAATTTTTTTCTTAGTTCATACAGGTTTGAGTTGCGGCGGCATACAGTTCAGATTTGTTCAGAGCATAGATAGGTCAGTAAGCATTGTAATTCTTTCGTGTTTCTCCTTTGTACATGTGCCGTAAATTGTGTATTTGGGGAGGGAGATAAGTTGTGTTGTATTATCTCAAAAAACAGTGTTATACTGGGTAGAAGTGGCAGATCACGCGGAATGGTGATCTACCATGGGCCTGATTTTGCGTTGGCCGGTCAGCTTCTTTTTTTGTAAGGTGAGGTGGCCATCGATTTTATTATGTAAGCTTATACCGGCTGTTCAAGGACGGACAAGTTTGTGTTCCCTTATGATCCCCAGATGTGATGGCCTATGATTAGAACTGGTGCAATTTAAGCTCACCTTTAATCAGGGACAGACGTTTGAACTAATTTGGCTAGTTGCATCTACTCTCGGTACATAAAAGAATGCAATTTTTGCATTTTGAGGAGTCAAATGGTTTGAACTTTTACTAAATTTATATAAAAAAGTATCAATATTCATGATATAAAATAAGTATCGTTAGATTAGTTATAAATATGTTTTTATAATAATTTATTTAGAGACATAAATGTTAGTACTATTTACTATAAAGTTGATTAAACTTGAACTAGATTGAATTATATTCTTTTCTATGCTAGAGGTAGTATTCGTTAATTAGTGTCTTCGACGAGGTTTCGTCCCGTGCTTGAAGAATGTAAATGCTGTACAAAACCACGCATGACCATTATATGGACATGACACCGTGGTGAAAACTTAGAATTAGATATAGCAGTGCTAGTGCTATGGATGTCCGGACGGATGCCCGGGTCTGGACACCCGTGCCAGCCGTCCTGCCCGACCTGATGTGGTGTATGCGCCCCACCCGACCTCATGCAGCGTCTGCGCCTGACCCCACGTGCCCCCTCCGGTAGCTGCAGCAGGAGGGTCACATTTCAACTGCAACATCCGGTCTATTTTTGAAACATCCAGATGCAACACTTGCAACATACGTCTAAAAATAGAAAAAACACTTAAAACATGAGTATGAAACGTTTGCAAAAACACCTGAAAACACTTAAAAATCATTGCAAGCATACGCAACATCTAGATAACACACTTGCAACATATGTGGGAAACATGTGCAACATATGTGGGAAACATATGCAACATAAAAAAACACACTTGCAATATACGTCTGAAAAATAGATGAAACATTATGAATAGAGGTTTGAAACATACGTGTACAATCATTGCAATATATGCAACATCCTGATCTACTTTTGCAACATCCATACGAAATACTTGCAACATACCTCTAAAACATCTGAAACACTTGAAACATACACCGGCGTGGAGCTCGATGCCGCACAACTCCAGTGTAGAAGGTCGCTCTGGTGGAGAAGGCCGCCGACGCAGTGGGCAGATGGCCCGGTGGAGAGGAAGGATGGTGGGTGGCAGCACTGGAGCGTAGTGGAGAGAGAGGATGACAGCAATCGGACGCGGTGGAGAGCGTCGTAGTGGCATGGTCATGCCAGAGCACGCGCGCGGTGGATGGTCTTGGACACATGATGATGATCAAGCTCCGGACTTGGAAAAGAAGAAAGAGAAAAATAAAATGGGCTCAAGGCAAAGGTATATTTGATAAGGCCATTTTATTTTGGTGATCGAGACATTTAGTGAGTGTGATCACATTTAGGATAGATAGCCGTACTATTAAGAGATGTGAAACTCGTCGTGAAATGCGGTTATCAAAGTGCCACTAGATGTTCTAACTCTTTACATATGCATTTAAATTCTAGTGAGTGCTAACTCCCTTAAAAATGTTTGAGAAAAGTTGCTAACACACGTGCACAAGGTGATATACTTGATGGTTAGTAGTTTTGTGTAAGGGTGGAGAAGTTGGAGTTGAAAATGAGTTGATCGCGCTGGTCACAGGGTGACCGGAGCGTCCGACTATGGGACCGGACGCGCCCGGTGTTTTACCCAGGCTCGGGCATATGTTCGGGCATAGGACACGTCGGTATTGGGACGACGTGTCCCAGTATTTGGACCGGAGGCAGAGGTGACCGGACTCGGCGCGTCGATATTGGGATGCGTCGATCATGGTCTGGACCTCTCGGTGTAGTTTTTTAGAATTATATCAATGAGATCAAGGGAAAGAGAAGCCTTGATTTCAGAGAGGTTCTCTATCCCAAAGATCGTATGAACATGAAATAACTAACTATTAATCCCAAGGAAGTCGTTCTTTCAAACTATTTAAAATATATACTTCCATAGGGGGGGTTTAGGGGGAGCCCCCCCAAAGGTGGCTGTAACTAGTAATCTCTTCATAGTAGTGAACCTAACCACTGATTTAATCAGAAAAAGCTAGGTTCACTGATCCACTCTTTTTGGAAAGGGGGGTCCGGGGGAAAACCTTTTAAAGGTTTTGCGGATCACCTTCTATCGGTGCCTTACCTTTTTTAGAATTGTATCACTATGAGATCAAGGGGGAGAGAAGCCTTGAGGTGGGAGCCCCTATTTTAGGAAGCGATACCACAATCTATGCCTTCTTGTCCTTTGTCGCTCAAGTCTCTCGTCGTGACCAGACGCTCAGCACTTCATGTGACCTGACGCTGAGCATCGCGTCCGATCAGATGGAGCAGCATGCGCGGAGGAGAGTGACCTAACTCTGTGTGAGTCCGGCTGGTGAACATGAAATCGGTCCTAGTGAAATCCTAATGGCTAGAGGGGGAAATCTATTTCTTTCAAACTATTTGATTAGTAAGACAAATAGCGAAATATACTTCAAGGGTTGCAAGCCACCTATCCAACAATTCTAGTTGCAATGATCTATTTGCACACAATCTACTTGACCACTACTCACTAAGAGCTCTCACAAAAGCTACACTAAAGAGCTCCACTAGATATGTTTAAAGCACAAGGCAAGCTCTCAATTCTAATTACAGTAATGCTATATCTAGTTTATGAAATGTAAATGAGTAAGTGAGACGATTATACGCGGGGGTCGGAGTGAACCAATTACACGATGAATATATAGCCAATCACGGGAGAACCGAATGACAAGAGACAACCGATTTTTCTCCCGAGGTTCACGTGCGCTTGCCAACACGCTATGTTCGACCAACACTTGGTGGTTCGGCTAAGAGGTGAAACGATAGGTTCGACCCACAAGTGAGGTAACTCAATGACACGAGCAATTTACTAGAGTTTTTTTTTGGCACTCCCGGGAAGGGGTCCCTCACAATCACCGAAGGGCCAACAATCACCTTTTAAAGGGTGGTGGCAACCACCCGGCGAAACCTTCCAAGCTACCAAGTGCCACTAGATGCAATCAAGCAATGCACTTGGATTTCTCCCAATCTCACAATGATGATGGATCAATGATGGAGATGAGTGGGAGGGCTTTGGCTAAGCTCACAAGGTTGCTATGTCAATAAAAATATGCAAGAGTGCTTCCTTGAGCCGCCATGGGGCTATAAATAGAGCCCCATCAAATAGAGCCGTTGTACCCCTTCACGGGCAACACCCCGACGGGGACTTACCGATGGCCCTCGGCGTCCGGTCGCCCTAGCTCAAAGCTAGAGGTGGGAGCCCCTATTTTAGGAAGCGATACCACAATCTATGCCTTCTTGTCCTTTGTCGCTCAAGGCGTATTTCGTCGTGACGGACGCGTCCGTGCTCAACCCTAGCCACTTCATGTGACTGATTCAGCGTCCAGGTCCACAGGACCGACGAGACATCATTTCGATCAACTCCATTTCAACTCTTACTTCTTCACCCTTGCTCAAGTGTGCCAACCACCAAGAATTTTGCATGGAGCAATAGAAAATAGACATTTCATTTTCCCGAAGCATCTTGAATCCAGGAAACAAGCTTCGGCGGGAGGGAGAGGACCCAAACCCATCTAACCCTCGTGTGAGTCCATGTGTTAGCATATTTTCACAAATATTTTCAAGGGTGTTAGCACTCCACTAGATCCTAAATGCACATGCAATGAGTTAGAGCATCTAGTGGCACTTTGATAACCGGCTGAGTTACATGAGCTATCTATCTAAATGTGATCACACTCACTAAGTGTCTTGATCACTAAAACAAAATGGCTCCTATATTTTATACCTTTGCCTTGAGCCTTTTGTTTTTCTCTTTCTTTTTCAGTTCAAGTTCAAGCATTTGATCATCACCATGCTATCACCATTGTCATGATCTTCGTCATTGCTTCATCACTTGGAGTAGTGCTACCTATCTCATAAACATCTTGATAAACTAGGTTAGCACTTAGGGTTTCATCAATTAACCAAAACCAAACTAGAGCTTTCACTCAGCAGCTCTATGAGCTCTCTAGACTCGACCTGACGCTGCTTCTTCAGCATCCGATCGTTTTCTAGCAGCGCGTCTGATCAACTCGTGTCAGAGCATGCAGAGAGAGCCATTGGGCGCCAACGGCTACTTCATTTGAAGGGGACACGTGGCATCACGTCCGGTCGGTGCGCAGACTGCCCAATAATTGAGCCAACGGCTCTATTGTTTGGGGGAGTCTATAAATATCGTTTGGCCGGCTTGGGCTCACTTTCTTGGCCATTTCTATTGAGAATATATCCTAGTGAGCATAGCCAACACTCTCTAACTCACCTTGCTTGATTGGATCATCATCTAGTGAGATTTGAGAGCATCCAAGTGCATTGCTTTGAGTGATTGCATCTAGAAGCACTTGGTGATTGTGTTTTGCTATGGGATTCGCTTGTTACTCTTGGTGGTTGCCACCACTTAGACGACTTTGTGCAGTGAGGATCATTGAGCGGAGGATGATGCTTATCTTCGGCTCCGATCGTGGTGATTGTGAGAGGTTCTTGACCTTTTTTTGGCGGAGAGCCAAAAGATACTCTAGTGG